AGAATTTTTTTAATTAATTTAATTTAATTATTAAATAACATGTAAAATATCTAAATATTAAAATTAAAATTACATTGTTTAATAAGAATTAATAGATGTTATAATAAAATAAATTTGAAAGTATAATGTTGTAATAATGAAGTCACATCATTATAGTACATGTGGATAACCTACTTAGACAATGAGGTAACATGAAAAACTGGTATAATGAGTAAATTTTTCAAAATACAATGTTCTAATAAAAAATAGTTTAAATGTACATTGTTGTAATAAAAAAACTGGAAATACAATGCTATAATAAAAAAAATTATGAAAATAGATTGTTATTTTGTGAATTTTTCCTTTTTTTAAATATTGCCTACAATAAAAAATTTATTTAAATGAAAATTAAATACATTAAATAGAAAAATAACATTTTTAAATAAAAAAATTAAATTATATTAAAATCACAAATATGGAAAAAAGTACAGTTTTAAGTAAATGTGTTAAATAATTTTTATATAAGTAAATTTATTTTATACCCTTATTTATTTATTTTTGAAATTTTCTATTTAAGGTGTTATTTAATGAAAGTGTGGTCTATATTCATTCTCTTTTTATTTGTTTATCATTCTTGTATGAACCCTATTGGGGGCATCTTCCCTTGTCTTCTCTATGATAATAACAGATCTGTAAGCCGGTGAGGAGTGAGGGATTTATTAAGACTGAGCCACCTTCTTTCTTTTTCATCGAAAACAGGCCAAGTAAAAATAAAAAAGAAAGAAGAGAACTTCATAAAAAATCAATTAATTGTTAAGTATATCTAATTTTGAAGAAATCGTAATTTTTTTAAAATATTACCTTAAATAAAAAAAATATTTAAATGAAAATTAAATACACTTATTTCAAATGCATTAAATAAAAAATAATATTTTTAAATAAAAAATTAAATTATATTAAAATCATAAATATAGTAAAAGGAGAGTTTTAAGTAAATGTCTTAAATAATTTTTATATAAGTAAATTTCTTTTATACCTTTATTTCTTTATTTTATTTTAAGGTGTTATTTAATGAAAGTGTGATCAATATTTATTCTTTTTTTATTTGTTTATTATTCTCGTATGAATCCAAATATATATATATATATATATATATATATATATATATATATAGAGAAAGAGAGAGAAAGTTTGTTTCAAATACAACCTATTGCATTTGTACAACCAATGCAACCCAATAAATTGAAATATTTATGAAAATGATGAGAATTCATTTATTATGATTTAAATATTTATGGAATAAGAATATGTTAATTATGATTAATACTTTATAAAAGGAAATAATCAAAACTTTTATAAATTACATATTTATCAAATTAAATGGACGATTGAGATTGAGTTGTATTGGTTGTACAAATACAAGAGGTTGTATAATAACCGGGTTGATTTTCGTAAAATTAACTTTTAGGATTTGATTCTTGTTGTCCTTTATTTTTTTTTTCTAGGCTTCTAATTTCGTTTTTGTTATACTCAACTATTCAATTATGTGATTACGCGAATATCCGAAATACAAAATTAGAGTTTGAGAATTTTTTTAATTAAATTAGGGAAATTAACATCAAATTACGAGATTTCAGGAAAATCTATTATTCAGGGAGGATTAATTATTAAATGAAATATAATTATTTATAATAATTTGATATTATAAATTAGGTTTCTATTTTAAATAAAAAACAAGTCAAACATTGTAATAATATATATGGTTCGAATAAGTTGTTCCATTTCGGATAGCTACAGGAGTTCCTCTTTATAACCTATATTTATAGCGCTTATAAGGGTTTAACTTTGTTATTGAGCCAAGTAGCTTACGTTTTCAAAGGTTTCGACCCCTTACAAGTTAAGTAGTGTACATTAATGACTTAATGTAAAACATAAAACAAATTGGAGAGAATGAAAATTGTAAACTCTTATAATCAAAAGTCCTTTGAATATGGAGGAATACATAAAGATCATGATAAGTATGAAAATAAGATTTACTCCATAAACAATTTTAGTAATTTATATTAATCTCTACTGTCATATTATTTTGACAATGACACACTTAGTTATCCTTACAACACTTAAAAACATTTTCTAATACAAATGATTGGGTGAGTAGGTGTACATAACCCAACTCGGCCTTTAATTGGTACGCCTGTGCTCGACGGTATATGTTGGTAAAATGTTAGAGCATCTCCAACAACTATAATATAATTAATATTAGAGTCAATAAAATAAACTACTCCCCTTTGCCATGACTCAGGTCTGTTATCTATGTATGTATTTAAGAGAAGGCAATGATGACCAGGTAAATAGGAATTATTGTTATACCCTTCACTACAACAAAATCGGGTTTTAGGATGTCAGAAAAATTTAAATGTTCTAATAAACTGTTTTATAGGACTTGATTTATAGAACAAAAAAATAAAGTGTCATATTTAAAGGCATTATAATAAGTTTATAGTACACTTTTGAAATTGTTAACAAGTTTTTTAAAACACTTTTAATACAAAATGTTACATTAGCAATTTTATAAGATACTTTTTGAAAAAATGATCTATAAAAACAAGTGTCCTGTGGAAAAGATGAGTTTATAGGACATTTCTTAAAAAAATGTCCAATATTAATAAACTTGTTAATGAGACGCTTTTTATGAAAAAAAAATGTCTAAATACCTTGTTAAAAAGCCCAAAAACGTCCTATAAATTAAGTATTATAAAGTGGTCTAACAGGACACTTAGAAATTGGTGGTTACTATAAACCCAATTTTGTTCTATTGCCTGAGTCCTTATAAGTAATTGAACATGCTTTGCGACTATATTAGTAAAATGTAAAGTATTTCCAACAACTATATTAAAATAGATATTTTAAAGATTTATAGCATATTTTTACTTCAAGAGCTATGGTATAATATAGGTTGAATTAGAGAAACAAGATAGATACCGAAAATCTACAAATATAGAGGAATCTCTCAAACTACAAATATAAGAGAAAAATAATATTTAATTTTTTCCATTAATAAATAAATATTAAAATTAAATATTTACCACAAAAAATGATGCTATATTACATTTATATAATATTTTAATAATATAATAAATATTAAAATCTCTAAAATAAAATAAGTCTTTTTTCCATGACATACGTATGTTATCATTGTGTGTGTGTTTTAATAAAAGGCAGTGTTGGCCGATAAATAATTGTTATGCCCCTTCAAGAGTCATGGATCGCAGATATGTTCATAAATCATAAAATGTTAGAGCATCTACAATAATAATGCTAATTAGAGATTTTGAAGATTTACAAGATGTTTTTATTCCAAAAACGGTAAGTTTGTATTAACATCTTCATTTTGACTATTCATTGCAATCAATTTGGAATTATGTTTATACTTTGTTTTGGTTACATGATCGACTGATTTGAGATCGAGGCTCTCATTGCATTGACATTTGCATTAAAACGAGTTTGTGGAATCTGTGGGTTCCATTTCCTCTACATTTTGATTTCAAGTAAGCAACAATGTGCATATCATTGATTTGTGATTTAAAAAGATTAAAAGGACCAGAATCATGATATCTAAGAAAAGGCAAGGGTGAAACTAATTGAAGTGGAATCTGTGTAGCATTTATTTGATGATTTGATGGTACTTGTTCCATTACTTGATAGTTCCTCGATTTCGGCCACTCCAATTATTTTAGTTCTGCTGCTTTGACTATTGTAGAAACTTGAATTGAAGGTGTGTGCTCCACCTGTAGCCGAACAGGCACTTATGCTCATCTAGTTTTCTTTTAGAACAGGGATTCTTTAGACTTCTAATTGCTTGTTATGGTTCGTTGTAGAATCTGTTTGATAATATCATATTGTATTATTATGCTTCGTTACTTGATTTCTCATCAGGTGGTGAGAGATAAGTTTCCTCATATACGAGATTATAAAGCTTTTAAGGTTCCTACAGCTTTGGATCCCAAAACTATACTCAAAGACCAACTAGTTGTTGCTTTCTTTGATGGTAAGATTTTATGCTGCTTCTTCCCCTTGTAGTTTACCTTAAAAATATCTCCAATCAACCTTGAGGGCCAGCTCAATTGGCAAATAGAGGGGCTAGGCCTGGAGCTCCTTCCCATAGGTCACCAGTTCATGTTCCTCAGGGTCATTGGAGATCACTTTTTGTGTTATCTTTTTGTAATTGTTGTTTTATGGGTAAAGTGAAATCCTCAAGTATTTGGCAATTGCCTAAAAATTAAACTTGATACATGTTCCATAGCTTGTAGTTTCTTTTCCAGATGATTATAGTCTGTAAAAATGCTTCTTACTTGCAGCAATTCACACTTTTGCTACATTGTGCAGCCAGTGGACAATGCATTAGTGTTACTGTTTTGCAGCCAGTGGACAATGCTCTTGAATTCTTGACAATGATTCTATTATATTTTTTATTACGTGTTGCAATAATTTGGGTTGTCCAAAATTTTAGAAATTTCTTGCTCTTAGATAGAAACTAATACTTTGGCATTTTCCCTTAAAAAGCTATAATCCTGTTCTGTGGGGAGTCCCTAAAGGAAGCTATGCAACTAACCCCAATGGTCCATGCCGTATAATGGAGTTCCGGAAGATGGTGCAGGTTAATATTTTTACTCTTCTCTTTTGCAGTGTATAGTCAAACCGATTAAAAGATGTACTGGATTTGGGTGTTATCATTTTCATTTCTTGGTTGACAATTGTTGTGGTGATATAACGGAGTGCAGGCACTTAATTGTTTAGGTCTTCGGGTTGTCTTAGATGTTGTTTACAATCATTTACATGGAAGTGGGCCCATAGCTGATAACTCTGTGCTTGACAAGGTTCTTCATTTGATTCTCAAGTTTCGTTTCTATGCTCATTAGAAAAAGATACTCCCTGACTCTGTCCCATGAAATTGCAACATATAATTCGCCACGTTTGAGGGAGTGTTGACTACTTGTCAAATGTCTAAAATAACCTTCATTAGTGACAAAATAATGGAATTTTATGAATCCAAATTAACAGCATCAATGACGATGGGCAAGTCAAGGATAGTTAGAAAAACTTTCTGAAAGAGGAAATGTTGGAATTTTTACAAGACATCCCAAAATGGAAAATGTTGCAACAAGGGATGGAGGGATATACAAATAGGAATGCAAGATGCCTAACTTGGATTCCCTTATAGATTGTTCCAGGTTATTACTTGAGAAGGAATGCAGATGGTTTCATTGAGAACAACACATGTGTAAATAACACTGCGAGTGAGCATTTTATGGTTGATCGTCTAATTATTGATGATCTTTTAAACAGGGCATGCAATTATAAGGTAAAAGTACTGTCACTCCCCTTATATACAGCTAAAAAGAATTGAGCATGAAAATTATTTATGTGGCATTTGTGCCTCATGTTTCAACCATTTTATACTCGCAGGTCTTACTTTCTGTCGAAACTAAAGTGGTTTTGATTAGTTTGGCCTTATTAAAAAGATGCTTAGAACAACAGTTTGTTTTTGGCCAAAAAGTAGGACGAGTGGTTAGAAACTTGTCAAGGGAGAAAGACGAAGTAGATGGTTCTAGTATTTTCATGTAAGAATGAAGCCACCATTATATGGTTTCCAACTGATTGATAATCTTCAAAACTGTAGTCATTTCACTGTAAAGCTATAACATGTTAGCTTTTTTAGCAGTCTCTATTGTGTTGATTCTTTAGAATGTGTAAAGCAGTCCTTGAAAAGCACGATAAATGCTTTTTGCCAATGCAAAATGATGTAGACACTCATCATCGCCCTGGGCGCTGGGGGCTTTGTATCTAGTTGTTTGTATCTAGTTGTTTCCTGAGGTTTATGTTTAAATTTCTCCTTTATTCAGGTATGGTGAAGCTTGGGACTTTGGTGAAGTGGCAAGCAATGGTCGTGGCATAAATGCATCACAGTTCAATCTAGCGGGAAGTGGAATTGGAAGGTACACGAAATGGACCAATTTATTTTAGTTGGAACATTTGTTTATACAATGATAAATAATTAATGTATTTCATTCAGCTTTAATGATCGAATTCGGGATGCATTGCTTGGTGGATCTCCATTTGGTCATCCTCTTCAACAAGGATTTCTCACAGGATTATCTTTGCAAGTAATGCTAATGTATTCTTTAATTTCTATTCTTTAGGGCGGATGTTAGAAAATGAATTTATAGATTGATTGAATGTTGGGGATTGTTTTGAGAACTTATTTTTTTATTATTATTATAAATTTATATCAATTTATTGCTTTGAGATTTTTATGTTGTTTTTGTTGATTAATATAATATATAATTATATACAAATATAGATCTTAAATATGGATGAAAAATAATAATAACATGCCCTTTAGAGAAGGAATTGATTTTTTAAAAGTGTATCTATAGATAAGATTTAGAGAAGGTTTTGATTATTTGTATCTAAAGATAATCTTTTGAGAAGGTTTGTAGAGTGTAACTAAAGGACATCTTTAGAGAAGGTTTAGGTAAAATGTCACTAAAGCCAATATCTTTACAGAAGCTTTTTTGTAAACCTTCTCTGAAAGCGCCTTTTAGAGACGTTTTTAAACCGTCATTAGTACTTGAAAAGTGTCACTAATAAATACATTTAGAGAAGCTTTTATAAAAAAATTAACTAATCTTTAGAGAAGTTTTGAAGTGTATCTAAAGYCCTAAAAAAGTGTCTCTAAAAGCTACCAAAAACATACCCTTCGAAAATCGTCCCTAAAACCTTTACCTACCCTTACATAGAGAAGCTTTTTGACGGAAATGAAAAGCTTCTCTAAAGCCTTTAGATAAGCTTTTAAGAATTTTAAGTACAAAATAGAACCTTCTCTAAAGGTTATTTTTCTTGTAGTGTAAAAAGAATGATATTTATAAAATCATTTAAGAAGGATGATATTTTTATTCTTTATAATCGTAATTTTTATAATTATTACATATGTTTAGAAAATCATACGAACTTGGATTTTTTTTAATTGAACAAATATAAATTAACACAATGTTGGTTTTCAAGTTTAAGAAAACCTTTACTAAAAACTTAATAAATAAATAGAAAATTCGGTTTCAATTTGTTTTCAAAATGATCTAATAAACCTCGAACCAAAAAATAAGTTTCTTAGAAATCTAAAACCAAGAAATGAACTAAATATAGTGGTTCCCATCGTGATTATGTTTTTTCCGTTATGTCCTCCACTGATGACCAAATATGCTCGTGTATCACTTTTTTCGGTCACCAAATATGCTTAGAGATGCTATTTGATTGAATAAAATTTCTACAGTTGATTATATAATTTTTCATTGAAATATACTCTGAAAATCAATCTGTTATGTGTTTTGATTAGTTTGAATTGTTTGATATATAACTTAGACTTTATGATCATTACTTTAGGGATTTTGATTTGTCATCATCTTCAACACTATGTTCAATTTTTTGATAAGTACTAAGAGGTTTTTTGATTTGTTGATGTCAAATATCATATATAAGAATTATTATTTTTGAAGAAAACGTATAATTAGATTTAATTTCAAATTTAATTTAATAGTAAACATATGTATTCATTTTCTCTACAATGATTCAATCTACGATACTAGTGGAGTGAACTCTATGAATGAATGGATTAGATGAACTTAGAAAAATGGAAAGATTTGTACAAGTTAAGTTTTCACTTACCCAATTTTTTGCTGTTTGAATGTGTACATGTTGCCATTTCGAATTGTTTCTTATTCGATCGATGAATATCTTTAAGTCAAGTGTAAGTTCGAACTGGAGGGAACTGAAATTAGTTGGTGGTTATTTAGGGAAACTACATAGACTACTAAACAAATTCATTCAAAATGATTGTATTTAATGAATCTGATATTACGTAAATACATGTTTATAGCAAGTGCAGTTGGAATGTAAGTAAACTCGTTTTATAAGTTCTTTACTCAAAAGGGTCAAATATTTATCCAAAATTAAACATAGTATTTATACAACAAAGTGAAATATGAAATCAATGATAGGGCATAATTCATATTCAATATTCAATTTGAAGAAAACCTACCGAGAAGCGCAGGACAACGTTGACGACTCACATTCATTACATATGTAAAGAGATAGATAGGAAAGAAGAGGTTGAAGGAATATGTTCGTTGGATCATCACATTTGTGTTTGTGCATTTTTATTATGTGTGCTTGAATTAAGACTGTTGATCTTTTTTTTGGCTAAATGTTCGGTTTTGAAGTAGGAAACAGTAAAATACATCAATCTCACGAATGAAGTTGATGCAATTAATTTCATTGGTGTCAAATATGGTTATCTGAATAAGAATTTATCAAATTTTAAGTACATGAATTTTAAATGTTTTCTTGCTCAACAAAGAATACGTCAATTAACAAGCGACATACACTAAGAGTAAACCCTAATTAATATTTGTGTATAGATGGATAGTAACTCTTTCAAAGGAACTTAGGAGCATAAGCTAAGTAAAAACGTATTTCATTGGGAAAAAGATTTCACTGCCAAAAACAATCATTTACTACTCGAAATTTCATTCATATTAAGTGTACGTTTAAACATTCAAATTAGTCCCCAATAAACCCTTCCTAGATGAACGATAAGTTTTCTTATAGGCTTCCACTATAATTTCTTATAGCTAAATTTGTTCGAGTTATACCGCAAAGTTCATCTTATATCACATCACGACAACACATGTTCGCAAGTGATAACATGAACCCTTCTTCTTAAAACACCAAGAGAGTTGCCTATGCAACCTCTGAGGGGGATTCAATCCACCGATTTCTTTACACGATCGTGTTTATTCACTTATTGACTTATACACATGTATCCCTTTTGTTTTTTAGTACTCTAGAGGTAATTAATAAAACAATTCTATAGTTCTCTTATTTTTAAATACGTAACTTTTATTTATTTCAAAATATTACTTTAAAATAGAAGGCAATTAAATCAGCACCATTATTACTACTATCATCATTGGAAAAGTTATATTTGATGCATAACTTTTCATTGTTTCTTGATTAATTACCAAAATATATATTCCGTCCATTACCACTAATTTTCATTTTACATTGAAAAATACAATAGTAAATTTTCATTTACAATTTAATTTTTGTGGTACTTTTTCTTTTCTTTGTGTTTTAATTAAATTATACTAAAACCAGGGATGTAACGAAATTTTTTCAATTGTTCAAGTAAGACTTTTCATTTCCCGTTCAATCTGTTGCAATACATATGCCAACTAAAATTTAAGAACATTTAAACAAAGGACATATCAAATATTAGAAAATTTTCAAACTTTGTTTATAGTTTTAGAATTAAAATATAGGATATATATTGAAAATCCAATATTTTAATTGTTTGATTAAAATATTAATTATATTTCAAATATTTAATATATAATTAATATTGATGTATAACCATTAATTATATAAATTTACATATAAAGTTTTAAGTAGTTATATACAATATTAACATGTAATTTTGAATTGTAAATAATACATATTGATTAACAATACTTAATATATTAAAAACGATTTTTTTAATATTTTATATTAAATGATTTATAATATAGTATAAGTTAAATATAGAAATAAAAATAAAATATATTTTATATTATATTATAAAAAGAAAAAACTTGGTTAAATGTTTACTTTTTAATTCTTACAAAAATGGATCGGATCACGATCCGGTTGGTGCAAAGCCAGCCAATCAAAAGAGAGATAAGGGTTGAAATTTTTCTATATAAACTCACAATCAACATTTTCATTCTACCTTGATTTCATATCAAGCGCCATGGAAGAGGCGTGCACGATGTGCTCCTATCATTCGACAATCGCTTATCATTCACTTCTCCTGATCGCTGTAAGACACCTTTATTTTTTCTAGTTTTGGTTGTCGATTTGACTCGGTCTTAAACTCGCTGCTTGCATATCATTCTTCCGATCTTTGAATCCATGTAGATAGCAAATGATTTATGCTCAATCTAATTACTTTTCCTTTACAAGATCATTTGTGGGTTCGTTTTCGATATATTTTTTTCAAATTTGAATACCAAAATATTTTGTTGAATTTTTTATGTGTTGCGTGTGATCTAAATGAAAAATCAGAATCTTGTTAGATTTGCGAATCCGAAAATCCATTAAGCGGTACTTGTGTTACTTAAATGTCCCCAAAACTTGAATCATCTACATGAGTTGCTCTTTTGAATCTATGCATCTAAGGAATATGTTCTTTTGGTTTGTTCTAACTTGTTCTGACATGTACATTTCTTGCTGCAGTTTAATGTTTTTACAACTTCAATGTTCATAGCATTTCGCAAGGATCTACGTTATGGTCCGATTTCATCAGTATGTAGGTCCAATCCAGCCAGGTTAGAGAGACAGGCGGGAGAGTGATTTGACAAGTTTTTAGGGAGCTTATGGATTTATAACAAATCATGTAAGCTTCATCCACTTGTAACTTTCATTTGACACTAGGTAATGTAGCTCATGCACAATTCTACCACGTAGGAGTAATCATGAACGGTGTGTTTTGCAGGCTGATGATCTATCTATTGATTGCTTTTTCCGACATCTAGTAAAACTGGAGTTAGTGGTGAACTCATGAGTCAACAAATGCAGCAACAAAAACAACACATTGTTTCCCAGCAGAAAGTAGGGCTTGGAAGGAATAAGATGTTTGCATATGGATGATGATTCTGCGAACATAGCAAATGTAGGAACCATATTCCCCAAAAGTCTACCAACCGTAAAGACCCAATCGATGGCGGTGCATATACGGTCCGACAAGACCTTTCTACTTTGAGACATGTTAGTATGATATTGAGAACGCCTATTGGCATTTTGTATATAAAACTTTACACAACAGAAATGTAACACAATTTATTAGGAATCACTTATTTGTTTTGCTATATCAACAACCAAATTAATTTCTTGACCTGTATATCATGGCTACCAATTATTTTCTTTACTTGATAAATATGATTCATCTTATGCTTCCATTTATGTGGTAAATATTTATGGGATAAATTCTCCATTACTTCTTGATGTTAGAGATCATGTTAGATTTACAAGTCAATAGCAGTGAATAGATTTACAAACATATACTCATTGGAAGGAA